CGGTAAAGAATGACCGGAAAGGTGGAGCAACCGAGTAGATCAGGGGACACTGCGGTAAAGAATGACCGGAAAGGTGGAGCAACCGAGTGGCCAGAAGAGTGGATAACCGAGTGGATCATGGGGTCACTGCGGTAAAGAATGACCGAGTAGGTGGAGCAACCGAGTGGGCAACTGAATGCTGCGGTAAAGAATGACCGAGTAGGTGGAGCAACCGAGTGGGCGACTGAACACTGCGGTAAAGAATGGCCGAGTAGGTGGAGCAACCGAGTGAGCCCGGCGCTAAGAAAGAATGACTGAGTATGAACCAGGAAAAAAAAAATCATTCAATCATCATTCATATCACACAAGCACACTTTGGTGGCGCAACGGGACCAATCGCATGCCCCGAACATGAGGGTTAGTGCATATAGCACTAACACGGCCCCGCAGCACCCTACCTCATACCGCAGCATGAAGGGGTTGATCGCAACCAACCGTATATACCGTCGATAGTTTGACGGCGGATCACAGCCCTACACACCACTGACGCGCTCAAAAGGTGGACTGCGATCCTCTTTTGGGGACTACGACCCTACACACCATTGACGAGCACAGTCGGTGGATCGTAGCGGATCAAGCCCTACACACCGCCTGAGGGACTCATTCGGTTGGCAATGATCCTCGGAGACTACGACCCTGCATACCGCTGGCCCATCACTCGGTGGATCGCAGCCGACCATAGCCCTACACACCGCCTGATCACTCATTCGGTGGGTTATGGCCTTCCTCAGGCTGGTGGCCCTACACACCGCTGGCGCGTCCAGTCGGTGGACCATCAGCACACGAGGCCCATGTGGGCTGTAGCCCAAGGAGTGAATCACTGACTGCAGCCAGGAACATGAACCGCAGCTCATGAGTAACCAATTTGACCGCAGCCAACTTCTGAACCGCAGCTCAGGAACACCCAATTTGATCGCAACCGAATTGGAGAATCATGCATCACATAACACATTGTAGCACGTAATAGCACATTGGGAAGGGGGAAGACGTATAAATAAACTTACGTGTGGTCATTCACATACTAAGAATAGTCCTAAGGGGTTCATGCATCTTCCTCCTAGGCCAACGGGTTACCGATTCAACTAGCATGCAATACCTGAGACTCTTCTAACCTACGAAAGGTACCCGAATCATCAAACTAGACTCACGCATGACAAACGGGGTCTGTTGGGACACCATGGGGACTGGGGAACATCAAACGGGGAAGCCAAAGACCCGGGGTGGGTAACAAACCAGCAGGTAGCCGGTGGGTGGAGGGCCACCCGCCGGCGACGAATTACTGGACAGCGAGTGCCCGGCGGGCAGACGCCTGCCCGCCGGCTGCCCGCTGCCCGTCGGTGTCTCTTTGGGCAGCGGGAAGGTCGTGGGTCCCCCCTAGCCCCACCTACCACCACTGACTCTTTATCAAATTAAGCATCCCGGGATCCTTTGTGGAACCCGAAACCATGCTTAGACACTTTTTAGACGCAAATAACGACACCACATAAGCAATTAACGGATCAAAAGCAACAATCACATAGAACATGACCTATCATGACTCCTAAACATAATCAACACCCGAACATGTGAATTCCCACCCAAATATACCAAGAAAAATCCCAATACGAAATTCATGATTCAACCTAGGGCTCTAATCGAAATCATGCTTTATCTTTAAAAATCAAGAACGTCAAGATTTTTCAAGAACACCACATAATTATCAAGATCCTCTTATCATCATCAAGATCATCAAGATCACACATAAAATCATCACAACAATTATCAAGATCATATCACAATTATCATAGAAGATTTCACCAAGACACAAGTATAGAATAGGGAGCCAAAGAAGGAGATTATAGCAAGGAAAATAGGTTTTGTTGAGACATGGGTTACCTCTTAGCCTTAATTAATCCTCCCTTGGCTATTAAGGTTCTTCCCTAAGATTTCCATCCGATTGATCTCCCTAGGCTTGGTGGTGTGGAATCTCCTGAAAATATTTTTGTGTAATATAACTATGGGTGGTAAGGATTCTAATTGCTTTCTAATCCCCTATTTATAGAATCAGGAGTCCTAATCATAATCTGAATAATAAAGGCCCACTTTCTTTATTCCTAATAGATATATAGGTCTAAGATTCCTAATTAGAATCTGACTAGTAAAAGGTTTACCCTCTTTATTCCTAATAGGCTTAAGACTCTAGTTTAGGCAAGGGTCCACAATCCATGGTGGACCACATTAATTAATTAAAGGGAATCCTAAACAAATTAAATCTTTTTTTTTAATTATTATTAGCGGAATTAATTAAATAATTAATCCGGGATTGAAGGCCGTAACACGGGGTGTTACACTCTCCCCCCTTACAAGAAGCTTCATCCCCGAAACTTAAAAATTATTTTGGGTAAAGAGCCCGAATTAGTATAATGGTACTTAAGGAAAGTATTATACGGGAGATATAGACATATGCACATATAAATTTACTGGGTTTAAGCCTAACTATTGTGCTTGCAAAATGCACCAAATAACAAGGTTATAAATATGCAACTCACATTATGTTAATTTTACGGATGACTAATGACATAACATAGATGGCATGCTCATTGTTTAATTATTTTATAATGATTTAACATATAGGATCATAAGTTGCACTGAACATATAATTATTTATGTACCTAAATGAGAGGCAAATACCATGCGGGTGCAGATTCGGATAGCCACATAATTATTATGATGCACATATGCACATATATCAGCATAGGTGAACCTCATTTACGAATGGATGCAAATATTTATTTTGTAGTGTAGCGTGTCGTGGGCCAAAATTCCATATATATAGGATCTATTGCCTAATCATTGTGCTAAGCAAACTATACCAGATACTCACAGCTACAAAATAACAATCCTAATACGTATGATAATTAGCTATTATGTTATATGCGGAACCTGCAAGTTGCCATGCCTATATGCATACAGTCGTAATCATGCTAAATATGCAATTTCTTAGGTCTATAGGCATAGAGTATGAGGGCATGTGAACCCATTTCGGGTCTTAAATAATAACTAGTCCTATGGAATCATAAAGCACATTTATTAAACATGTTAAATTAGTGCATGATTAACAATTTCACGTTCTCAACATCGTGGTATAACCAAACATTTGTCATATAAATTCAGGAAGGTCATAAATCATATAACAATTATTCAAATAGCGAAAATCAGATTTTGAGGAAAAGGTTGTAAGTGATTAGGAGGAAGGTTCTTGTTCCTTATGGGGTAAATAATTGATGGGGAGACAAATAGAATTAGGATCTTTATTTTGCGTATCATGGATGATGGTGGGTGATCACATAACAAGTATTGGTCACTTATATGCAGGTTGCTTGTAATTAATAATATTGTATATGTGCATAGTGGGATGCCTTCGATCATGCTTTGTGTATATTCATGAATGCGTGTAAGTGTGTGTTTTGACATAAACATGCGAGCTATGTGCATTACATATGAAAATATAAATTTCCACCTATAAATGGGAAAATGCAATTCGTATACAAATATTCTTTAATAATTACGAATAAAATAGTATAAGTTCTTGAATACTAAAAGGTTTATCTTGGGAAATCTTGACAGAATTTGATCACACAAGTACTTAAGGAAGGTACGGGTGGTAACAGGGAGGTCATGCGAGGGAGAAACGTAGAATTAGGGCTATCTCAGGGTATGTGTATATAAGAGTGATGTAATTTGTACAGAGTGATATTTCAGGGTTAGGAAATGCTAAGTGCAAACTCATAGATGCATATAAGATTATCATGGCTAGGGTACATGTGTATGGTTTGGAGCTAGGGATATTATTGTATATAACATGACTGTAACAATTTATATGAATGCGTATAAATAAGGGAGGATGTTCTATAGGCTCACAAGTTTATATATATATATATATATATATAAAAGCATATAGGGATGTACCGTACATGACGCAACCATAGAAGATTTAGGTTTAGGCAATGTGATTAGGGTTAGGGTGTAATAATAATAATAATAATAATAATAATGATGATGATGATGATGATGATGGTGGTGGTGGTGGTGGTGGTGGTGGTGGTGGTGGTGGTGGTGGTGGTGGTGGTGGTGGTGGTGGTGGTGGTGGTGGTGATGATGATGATAATAATAATAATAATAATTTTAATAATTTTAATAATAATTTTAATAATAATTTGCGTGTAAGTGTAGCATACAAATGTAGTTGAGATTTACTACATTCTTTAGGTCGTGTATATATATATATATATATATATATATATATATATATATATATATATATATATATATATATATATATATATATATATATATATATATATAAAATAGAAGTTTAGGGGAATATATTCAGAATAGTAGTGATATACCTATTTATGTATAAATATTTATTTAGGGGGTCCTTATCTTAGTGGTCAAGGGTTATAAACACTACAAGAAAATTTGTCATTAGTGAGAGGTAAAACCGTCACTAAAGAATCAAAAACCATCATAAAAGACTTTTAATGACGGAAAATTTACCGTCGCGACCCGTCGTTATAGCTTTCGCGGTTAAAAACAATTAATGACGGGATATGATACCGTCATTAGTGAGCATATAGTGATAGTATATTTACCTTCACTAAAATGTTCTTTTTGTGGCAAAGAATCCCGTCGTTAATACAACAATTCACTAACATAATTTCCCCTCATTTATTCTTTTAACGATGTAGAATCCCGTCATTAATATTGCTATTTACTAACAAAATTCTCTCACTATATTAAATTTTGCCTGTCACTAAATGTTATATTTTATTGTCAAATATTATTTTTTAAAAGTTCTAATTTGTATATATTGTCCTTGCTCAATAAATATTAATTTTTGTAATACATTTTTTTATCATAAATCTTATGTTGTAACAATAGATATTGTATTAATACAATTTATAATTTTAACAATAATACAATCAAAGTAAACTCATCAATATATTAAAAGACATCATCATCACTACCGAAATGAAATGTTTCACACAACTTTGTAAAGACTAAAGGCAAAAAAACTAATTATAGCTAACAAATAGCCATAGTAATGTAACTGTTGGCTATTTTGAAAGGTGAAACTATACAAGTAAACATTTTTAGTTTAGACAAAAACAGCTCCAAAGCAAAAATGTTCAATCTACTTCATACAAAAAAAACGTATACATTCAATGCGGTGTTAGGTAAGCCAATTTTCATCTTTGAATGCCACCTGGTAAATAAAAATAGCCAACAAAGATATACTCAGTATAATTGAATAAATAATAATTTGCAATTGTGAGTTATTGATGTATGTATATATACATGCCACTATGCATATCAATTAAACTGATGCATTTAAAGACTTATTTGTAAGTGTTGGTATACATCAAATCAAAGATAAAAGTATCAACAAGTTTTGCTATTTTTTTTTTCATTCTTCACCAATCACTCCCTAATGCAACATCTAACTTATATATAGTCCATGAGACAACTTAATGACATGAAGCTAGTTCCAACACAACATAACAATAACAATTTTAAACAAAAACATCAATACTTAGAGCAAAGAAAAAATATATATTTCATATGAATATAGAGTTAACGTATATACAAAATGACTGATAATTTCTTTAAATAACTTCCTACCTTTCTCTGAGTAGTACTCATCTTTCTCTGCTATTGATGTCTGAACCCAACTTTATCTTTTCTTGATCTATAAATAAATAAAGCATAACAATCATGAATTCATAGCCAAACACAGCTCAAGTACTTGACTACTACCAGACTAATAGATAGCTATAGTATGTTATAATATGATATCACTGGACACATATTTGTCATAGAAAATGGAGAACTATCATTTATGCTCAAAATGAAAAAAATAATAGTAATGAAATTGATATATAGAATACCTTGAATGACTACATCTGTCCATACAAAGATTAAACAGAATTGGGTTGCTTGCATTTGATCTCTGATCATAGTATTTGTTATATAAAATTTCACCATTTTGTTGTGACCTACTAATTTGAACATAAGGAAAACAAGACTTTCCCAAACCTCAGGAGGTCAAAGCAAAAAGCTATATTTACTCTAGAATGAGATTTTCTACAAAATATCCTCATGGAAAGGATCTCATATAGAACCAAGTATAACCTAGAATGAATCTCCATAATGTACTCTTATAGAGTGAACTCTTACAAAAATCAAGTATAGCTAGCTTTCCATTTGGAGTGCGTATCAAATTCTCAGTTGACGATCAACATGGAAGAAACCTGTATCAAGCAGATGTAGAAAAATAAAAAGCAATAAAGATGATGTACACGATACTAACAAAGATATGTTTCTCATATATATGTGACCTTCCTTGAAGTATACTTTCTTCAAAATCTCTACAAAGAGTGTCCCATTTTCTCCCTCATTATCGGTAGTTCTCTTGAGCATTTGCATTTTCCTGGATACACACAAGTACATGAGGACTAAGTCACATTTGAAAAAAATTGTGTGATCCCTTCCAGTTGCAGGATATAGCATTATAATCTATCTGAAGTAATCATCAGCAATTTAATTCAAAGTATTCAGATGCACAAGCGCACAAACAATACAAGTAGATAACCTGACATTAGGCTTTTCACTTTTAGGTATTTTGCACTTATCTTACTCAAAGCATAGGCCTTCTTCATTCTGTAAAGATACAGACTGGTATTTGGCTAATGCAAAAATTACTCACTAAGAATACATAACTATCATACTCAATATCTTCTGCTAACCTTTTTCTGAAGATCAACTAAATAGTTTCTAAAGAGATCTTCACGATCTGTCTCTTTCCACAGCCTTGAACAGTTCATCATCTTCAAACATTGTTACTGCCTTGCTAGATTATCAAACAAGATACACCATAAGAATTTTATAAGACTATTTTACAAGGGCATATCTGAACAACTAAATATATGAAGACCAAGTACAACAATACATGGGTATTAAATAAAAATGTCCCTACCTCCATCTTGTTGATGATGTAAGTTCCTTGGACTCCTGAAGGGAAAATTAAAAATTAACAGTGACAAAAGAAGTCAGGAGTTGATCCATTTCATTCAAAAGATGCTAATTATTTGAACCAATAACAGCACAACTAATCATAAAATCATTGTAACAGCATGGGCACTACTAAGTGTGGCTTGGTGCAGCATACTCTAATTTAATACTGATTATTATAGGCTGGAAACAAGGGCAATTATTATAAAGAAAATGTAGTATGTTTTACTACATTAAATAACCTATTAGAAAGTAAAATATATTGAAAATGCATCCACAAGGCTACTGTAAGACTATAGCTTCAACAAACCAAGAGGCAAGAATAACTTGTTGAAAACCAGTAAAGAGAAATGAATTACCTAAATGTTGCTTAAAATACATGAGCACTACAAAGCTTACTTCCAACATCATCGTGAATTCTTTCTTGACTTTTCTCTGTCTCAGGCGCCTCTCCTCAGCCTCCAGTTTTTATATTCTTGTAATTAAAAAGCTAAGAATTACCTAAGGATACATAATATACCAATGGTAGGTGGCAAATTGGCGGATGATCTACTCCGTCGATGGCGGCGACAGCGAGAGGGACAGGGAGGCAACGGTAGGTGTCGGACTATCGGCTGATCTGCAACGTCCGTGACGACGAAAATGATAGGGAGCGGGAGGTGGCGTCTGGTATTCTACGTCATCGTCGTTCTGCACCGAGAGGCAGCGGGGAGCACTGGAGCATTGTCGGCAGCAATGGCGTATCGAGAATCCAGAGGCAGCGAGAGATTGGGTTTTTTATTTTAACTTTTTAACTTTAAGTATATATATTCTATAATATTTAATTGGGTTCAAGTAATTGGCGCCAAAAAACAAAGTTTTGGTGGGAATTAAGTTTTAGTGAAATAATTTGTAAACATCAATAGTGAGAGTAACAAAATCTTTCGTACCAATAGCGAGAGTATACTTTTAAAATAAGTATAAAAGTAAAATTTCGTCACCAAATCATAAACATTTAGCTAGAGTAATTTTTAACTCACAAAAACTATGCAAATAACACATTTAGTGAGGGGTTTTCTTACCCGTCACTAAATTTTTGTCACTAAAAGTTGTTTTTCTTGTAGTGAAACAAGGCATTGGAGGCTTGTGGTCTATTATGCAACATGGACCAAAGTCTAGAGGGATAGTTTTAAAATAGTTTGGGGATGCAATATATTTTTCCAAGGATAAATTCTAGATGACCACTTGGTTTAGGTTCCTCAGATTTCTCCCGGTCTCACTCAGATTGCCTTTCGGGCCAAAACTTAATACGCAATGTACCCATGGATTTAGATTTCTAGATATAGAATTAGTCCCTATAATTTCTATGTAACTTATAAAAAAATCAATTAGGAAGATAATTCGTCTTTCATGTTCAAGCATTAGATTGTTATTTATATGTTAAACACATAAGAAGTACCAAGGAAGACACACAAATGCACAATGGATCAATAAAATGAGAAGTCAAGAAAACATACTGTACCAGTGGGCGCGAGGTGGGCGGTCGACCGCCTGTCAAGTCCCCACTGGAATGTGGCAGTGGGCACATGGTGGGTGGTCGACCTCCTGCAAAGGCCCCACTGGAACGTGACGGTGAAGAAGGAATCACGTCGGGAAAGTCCCGAGAATGCACAGATTTGAGTCCAAACAATTTCATACTCATATGAACAATAAAAGGGACTTAAATGCATGGAAAATCTTAAAAAATCACATTATACTAACAAGGAACACGGAAGACATTCAACGAGATATCATAAGGATCACACACCCCATTCTCCCCCTTCTTAACTAAAGCTACGCTCCTACAATTTTTCTCCATGCAAACTTATGTAAGTTCTTATCGAGCTATTAGTAAGTTAATTATCAAAGTAATTGGTCAATTATGATTTAGGAAAAGTGAGCTTATTATATGCCGAATAAAATTACCAATTACAAGTTCCAAAATACTTTATCAAATAACAGATATCCAAATAAGGCACGTTTGATCAAATAGTTAAGAAACAATATGCAATTCCTAGCTCGGTCTATAAACAAATCAATTAGGAACATAATCCAACTTTCATGTTCAAGCAAATAAACAAGTATGGTGCTTAAACAAAGTCGATAGTTTATCAAGTTTTAGTATGTCAAAGTAAATTGTTAGTAATCAAAGAGTCATATGCAACAAGGCAGGCAATAGTATGCAAGGATGTCACAACTTTTAGGGCAAGCATAAGGAAGGAAGAACAAGTATGTGAGAAAGAGCGATAAACTCACAATCTCACCGTGCGTCCTAAGATCCCTATATCCTAAGTTCCTAAACACCTTAAGTTTAAGCTTAACATTCTAAAGTTCAAGCCTAATGTCTTAACGTCTTATCCTAAAGGTATTGTGTAACACCCCGTGTTACGGCCCCAAAATTAAAATTAATTAAATTATCACCCACCATAAAAAGGGAATTAAAATCCATTAATTAGCTAAAGAGGGGTCCACCATGGTCCATGGGCCCTTATCCCTAAAACCAATCCCCTAGTCCTATAGGAAATATAATTAGCAAAACCCATACCACTTAGACCCTAATTAGGACTCTTAAATATATAAATAGGGACATAGGAGGCACCTAGATCTTACACCACAATAATCTCTCACCACACAAGAAGTTCCAAGAATTCCCTTAGGAGAAATCAAGAAAGAAGGAATCTTAAAGAAAGACCCTTCATAGCCAAGGAAATTAATTAAGGCTAAGAGGTAACCCATGTCTCAACAAAACCTATTTTCTTCGCTATAATCTCCTTCTTTGGCCTCCCTCTATATTCTTGTGTCTTGATAAATTCTTCTATGTTAATTGTGATATGTTCTTGCTGATTGATAAGATGATTTATGTACATTCTTGATAATCTTGATGATCTTGATGTTGAAAAGAAGTTCTTGATATTAATGTGATAATTCTTGACGAATTTTGATATTTCTGGATCTTAAAATATAATCTTGATGATTTGGGTGGGATTAAAGCCCTAGATTGGATTGGGAATTTTGTGTTCAGATGTTCTTGATATATATTTGGGTGGGAATTCGCATGTTCGGGTGTTGATTATATTTAGAAGTCGTAATAGGATGAGTCCTACGTGATTCTTGCTTTTAATCCGTTAATTGCCTACGTGGTGTCGTTATTCGCATTTAAAAGTGTTTAAGCATGGTTTCGGGTTCCACAAAGGTTCCCGGGACGAATATATGAGAAAAGAGTCAGTGGGGGGTAGGGGAACCCGCCACCTACCCACTGCCCGAAGGACACCGCCCGGCAGCGGGCAACCACGGGGCAGCCGCCTGCCCGGCGGTAACCCGCTGCCCGGAACAGTGCCCTCCGGCGTGCAGCCGGAGGGTGATCCCCACCCACCTGCTACCCGCTGGTCCGTAACCCACCCCGGGTCTTTGGCTTCCCCGTTTGATGTTCCCCGCTCCCCCACGATGTCCCAACAGACCCCGTTTGTCGTGCTTGAGTCTAGTTTGATATTTCGGGTACCATTGGTAGGTTAAATGACTCTTAGGAATTGCATGCTAGTGGAATTGGTAACCCGTTGACCTAGGTGGAAGTTGAATGAACCCTTAGGACTATTCTTAGTATGTGAATGACCACATGTAAGTTTATTTATATGTCTTTTCCCTCCCAATACGCTATTACGTGCTCCTATGTGTTATGTGTTGCATGATCCCCCATTTTGGTTACAGACCAATTGGGTGATTCCCGGACTGAGATTCGGAAGTCGGCTGAAGGCCGAATGGATTATTCCCGGACTAAAGGTTCGGAAGTGGCTGAAGGCCAAATGGATTGTTCCTGAGATAAGGCTCAGAAGTTGGCTAAAGGCCAAATTGATTCACTTCTTGGGTTGCGGTCCACATGGGCCTTGGTGCTACGACCCACCGACCTGGACGCGCCAGGCGGTGTGTAGGGCCAATAAGCCGAGGAAGGCTGTAGTCCACCGACCTGAGTAATCAGGTGGTGTGTAGGGCTACGGCTGGCTGCGATCCACCAAGTGATGGGACAACGATGTGTAGGGCCGTAGTCTCCGAGGATCTTCGCCCACCGACTGAGTCTAGCTCAGCGGTGTGTCGGGCTTGATCCACTACGGTCCACCGACTGTACGCTTCAACGATGTGTAGGGTCGTAAGTCCCCCTTTGTAAAGGGGATCGCGATCCACCGACTGTGCGCGTCAGCGGTGTGTCGGATCGTGGTCCGACGTTGAGTTCGTCAGCGGTTATCAAAGGGTTGGTTGCGATCAACTCCCCTCATACCACGGTACTGAGGTAGGGTGCTGCGGGGCCATGTTAATGCTATAAGCATTAACCCTCATGTTCGGGGCATGCGATTGGTCCCGTGGCGCCATTAATGATTATGTGATATGAATGATGATTGAATGATGATGTGTTCGAATCAAAAAGTGTTCTGTGACCTTAGATGCGTATTCCTTATAATGCCATCTCTACTTAACTGTTTATCATATTTTGATGTGCTTGTCCCTACTTGCTGAGTCCATTCCTGCTTTTAAAACTAGTGTCTCTTAAGTATATATCTTCCTGCTTCAAAATGATTTTCGTATATCTATATATATATATATATATATCTATCTATATTGTATTTCAACGCGCTGGAGTGGGTTACCAGCATCTCTCGCTGAACGGATATATTTGTCTTTCAGGCACAGATGAGTAGATCCCAGAGCGCGCTAGAGATCCGAGGCGTAGAGTAGCTAGTTCCTTTTCAGCCTGCGTGCCATGATTATGTATTGACGCTATTTGAGGATTTTAGTTAGTTAGCCTGTGCACCTGAGTTCTCTAGCTCAAGTGTGGCATAACTCCCCATACTCTTATGCTTGATTTTGGGATTTAATGAGGAATTACCTTTATTATATAAGTTTTAAAAGTTTCAAAATTTGGGGGTGTTACAATTGGTATCAGAGCCTAAGTTTGACCCTAGGATAAGACTCTTAAAGACCAGACTTTAGGATATTACACTAGGTATTTAGGAACATAGGACTTAGGAATCTTAGAACGCGCGGTGAGATTGTGAAGCCTACACATAACCTTCCCTCACTTTAATTCCTCCCTAATTTAAAGAACTCCCCTTCGCTTATCACAGCAAGGTAAGGGTACAACCCTCTAAATCGTTATAAACATTGGCTCTATAGATCAAGCGACATGACACCAAACAGAAGACAATCAAGGACTCCGGAACCCGCCACACACGACCCCCTGACTCAAACCCTACAACAACTCACCCAAGTCGCCCAGACACTAAGCGACGTAGCCCTCCGCAACAACAGACCACCACTCCCTCCACCAAACGCAAACTCAGAAGTCGCCCGACAAGTTTCAAGCCATCGACCACCCACGTTCTCGGGAGAAGAAAATCCTGCCACCCTCGAAGAATGGATACGGACCTTTGATAAGATTCTGGGGTTGGTAGAATGCCCAGAAGAACGTCGTGTAGAGATAGCCTCGTTCTACTTCGGACACGAGGGAGACCTTTGGTGGATCCACGAGGGACCCACTTACAGACAAGAACTAGGATTCAACTGGGAAAACCTGAAAACACGCATGCGAGAACGATTCTACCCGACACACGTAAAAGCTTCTATGCACGAAGAGTTCCTCCACCTAAAACAAGGAACGACTACCATCACGGAATACCGTAAAGGATTCCTCGAACTGGCACGCTTCGCACCAGAGCTAGTCCCCACAGAATCAACCAAAATAGAAAGGTTTATATCGGGTCTCAACTTCGA